TGGCGCTCGGCCGAGTTGCGGGGTGGCAGTGGTGTGAAACATGGCATCCGACCATGCGCCCCTGCTCTCCAGAAAGCTTTGGCTCGCACCCTGCAGGCGGGCCCACTAGCGTTCCAGGAGGGGAGGCCAGCCACGGGCGGTGGGCGGGTGGCAGGCACATCGAGGGGTGGCCAAGGCGGGGCTCCGGGCTGGGAGAAGGGCTCAGGTAGGAAACCGCCACGGCCGGTTCCCACAGGCCCGCTGGCTGGCGGGCTGCGGATGAGTCCTATTCTTGCAGACACACAGCTCCATGGACACTCCTTATCAGTGTCAAATTATGATAAATGGCGACGGGGAAAAGTTGCTGGGTGGCAGCTGCCGCACCGCGGCGGGAGGCAGGTATTTTTAGCGCTGTGCCTGGGCCGGGCTCTGGGTTAATTAATCATGCTGAACAGCACCGAGTTGGGTTCTTGGTCCTGGTCCCCACTTGCACCCCAGCCTTGTCCCCATTCCCCAGACTGGAAAACCAGCTGCAGAGCTGGAAGTCTCGTACAGCTAGAGGCGCCCTTGACAGGGCACTGGGCATTCACGGGGGATGCCATCCCAGGTCCGCCACGGCTCAGGCCCTGCACCTCCCCCTCCTCTCCTCCTTCTGGGCCTGTATCTGCCTCAAGGCCTCTCCACTTGCTGTTCCCAGGTATCTTCATCGTTCCGACTCACCCCAAGTGCCTTCCCTGAGTGCCCCTCCCGCCCCAGGCTCTCCATCACCTTGTCCTGTTTACTCCCTTCAGAGCACTTAGACCAGCCCCAGCCACCTTCTTTGCTGATTGCTCCACTTTTTTGTCTGTCTCCTTCTGCTGAAATGCCAGCGGCTTGAGAACAGGGGTCTTCTCTCTTGTTTGCTCTCTTAAATCCGTTGCCCAGCTCAGTGTGCACAGGGCAGGCGCTCAGTCAATGCCCTTGAATACGCGACTGGATGGATGGGTGAGTGAAGGCTGGAGGGAGGCCCGCTCCGTGTGTCCAGATTGCTCTTGTTGGTAGGGGCACATCTGGGGAGCCACAGGCTGTGGAGCATCCTCTCCCAGGCCAGCAGCCACCTGGGGAGGCCCAGGCCCAGACCCAGGCCCGGGGCATTCTGGGAAGACAGTAGTATGCTGGGGAGGGAAATAGCCAACCACATAATCTTTGTTGTTGCTGAGAGATTGCTCTGAACTTTTAGGTTCTTTTCATAGCTCTTTTCTTGGCTGTGGAGGCAGATGGACTGGTTTTAAGGGATTCCTAGAAGACTCTGCTTGGAAGCTGACATGAGCAGCTCATTTTTGGAGCGTGAGCTTGGTTCCCTCATGTGTTTTCTCTTTCGATACAACCATGCTTTGTGGAAGCCGCAGCTGGTTGTCTATCCTCCCCTTTCTTGCTTGGGAACAGCACCCCAAGTTGGTCCTTGCATGGGGAGGCCTGTGCTTCGGGAAGGCCCGGCCTAGCCCCAGGAGGGCCCGTGATGAGTCAGAGCCGACTATGGGAGCTCCAGCCCCCGGGCCAGTACTTGGCTGAGACATAGGACCGTGAATGTGATTCTAAACGGGAGGTGAGGAGCTGTAGAGGGTCCCCCTCACTTTTAAAGAGGCACACGGAGGAGTGCACATGTGGTGTGTCCCTTTTCTTCACATGCAGGGGCAGAATGGGCCTGGGAGGGGTGCTGATCCTGTGGGCAGGAGTGTCCCCAACCCGGGACCCTGCCCACTCAGGTGGGGTCTGATTCTCAGGGGTGGGATCTGGATCTCTGTGGGGTTGACAGCTCTTCTTGCTCCCCCATTATCCTGAGACACAGGGAGCCTGTGAACTGTGGGAATAGACCAGGGACAGAGAAACCCTCCTGACAGGTGCTGGCCAGGAGATGTCAGCATCCCTTTCTCTTGACACCTTGAAGAGGACAAACAAACAGACGTGCTGTCTTTCCTGGGTTCCATGGAAGGGAATTTGTGAGGAAGGCACAGGCCTGGACTGTGAAGCTTCTAGGAGGTGGACATGCAGAGCACGTGCCCAGTGGCGAGTTGCCCCTGCTGAGGCCCCCAGAAGGTTCAGGAGCTGCCCAGCCTGGCTCCTCCGCTGACAAAGGCTCAGGGGGAACACGGTCCTCCCCATGGCTCTGAGGAGAAATGAACTGAAACCTCATTAAAAAGCACCGGGGAGCCCTAACTGGTTTGGCTCAGTGGATAGAGCATCAGCCTGAGGACTGAAGGGTCCCAGGTTCGATTCCGGTCAAGGGCATGTACCTTGGTTGCGGGCACATCCCCAATGGGGGGTGTGCAGGAGGCAGCTGATCAATGTTTCTAAATCTCTATCCCTCTCCCTTCCTCTGTAAAAACTCAATAAAATATATTTTTTTAAAAAAAGCACCGGGGAGATTGAGGAACTGCTATTCCTTTTTAACTTTTGCTACTTGTCTTTCATAGCTCTGGTTCTGACTTCAGCGTTCTCTGTGGGAGAGAGACAAAGAGGCTGAGAATAAATGGAGAGAGAGAGAGAGAGAGAGAGAGAGAGAGAGAGAGAGAGAGAGACTCTCAAAGAATGAGATAAACCACAAGACAGAGACACATTTTTTCTTTTGCTGATTCAAAACATATTTATTGGGAACCTATATGGGCTGGACCTGCACCCCCGCCCCCCTAATAATACACCACAGGACTGCAGGCTGTTTATATCTTCTTCCCATTTCCCCTCTGGATCTCAGGTCTGGGAATCAAGAGGGTGCTGTTTCCACACAGACCAGTAGGTGTCATCACGTCAGAAGGAAAGCCAGGGGCGCCCCTGGATTTGAGAGCTACCTATGAAAACAACCTCTGTTTCATCTTGTTTTCTAAGTGCCCTACGGGTAGGGCACCAGGCAGGACACGGGGGGGGGGGGGGGTACGTAGGATGAGAAATGCGCAGTCCCTGTCCTCATGTAACTTACAGGGGGGCCTGGAAGGACGGGTCCTAGGTCACAAAAAGAGGGAGAAGGCGTTAAGTGCCCGGGGAGAGGTTTAAAGGAAGGACCGGATGGTTCTTAGAACATCAGAGACCTCAGGGAAGTTGCCTCCCACTTTCTCACATTACAGCAGAGAAAATAGGCTCAGACAAGGGAGGTGGCTCACCTGTGGTCACATGGCAATTCCAGACATCAGATCTTCTGACTCCTGGAACAGTGCTCTTTCCACCAAACACCCGGGGAGAGGTTTAAAGGAAGGACCGGATGGTTCTTAGAACATCAGAGACCTCAGGGAAGTTGCCTCCCACTTTCTCACATTACAGCAGAGAAAATAGGCTCAGACAAGGGAGGTGGCTCACCTGTGGTCACATGGCAATTCCAGACATCAGATCCTCATCATGGGCCCTGTGGTTGCAGAGTTGGCTCGTTCAGGTTCATGAGGGCCAATTGAGCGTGAGATTCAAAATTACACCTTAGTTTAGCCATGAACTTCCCTGCAAAGTGCCCTCTCTGATGCCCACTGCAGGCACTCTAGGACCTAGAGGCTAGGTAGGCCAATCTGCATCTCGGGAAGGCAGCTGTCCTCATCATGGGCCCTGTGGTTGCAGAGTTGGCTCGTTCAGGTTCATGAGGGCCAATTGAGCGTATCTCTTCCCAGAGACATCCTGTTGGTAGCCTGAAATCAGCCATGGTGGGAATATTTACACTATGGAAATTGGCAACAGCTATAAATCAGAACTATTGTTTTTTTTTTCCTCCTAGGGACCTGCACACCATTGAATTCGTGTTCAGACTGTATAAATAAGGAAGCTGAGACTCAGGAGGTAAGAGACACAGCTGTAGGTGGTGGAGCTGCACCCCAACCCAGGTGGTCTGATACTAGCGTGCTCAGAGATGGTGGCATCAAAAGGACTCAGAGCCACTTGGATGCGGAGGGGTCTACATCGATCCCAGGTTTGTCACATGGATGCTGGTGCGGGTGCTGCCCCGGGCTGGTGTCATTATCCAGACGGCAACCAGTTTGAACGAAATGATAACCAGTTCAGCTTTGGGTCGAATTTGAGGCACATTGGAGAGATGTTTAGATTCGGAGACCAGAAGAGAAATCTGGCCAAGAGATTGAGATGAGCAAGACAGAGGTTTGTTCTTGACGAAACCAAACGTAGGTCAGCTAGAAACATTTCCTTTCTTAGAGTAATCAGAGAGGACGTGTGCGATTCACCCCTCTACATGTCTTTTCTCATCTTTGCTGGCACTCGGGCAATGATCCTGCAGGGCCGGGAGTGGGGACCATCCCGCTTGCCACCCTTGCGCCCTGGTCCTGGTGCAGAGTGAGCACTCAGTGAGTGCCTGCAGAATAAATGAATGTGACCCGTTTTTACCCCGCACATCCCAAGTCAGCACTGCTGTGGACCATACATCAAAACCCCAGTGCATTTCTCGCCGCTTCTAACATTATCTAGAATTCTGACATCATTATAGGAGTATGGATTGGAATCAGAAATTACCTTTTTATAGCATTTTGGAGCTAGAAGTGGATTAGGTATTATCTCTTACGATGCGCTTGTTTCACTGATGAGGCACTGACGCCTAGAGACCATTCTGAGACCCTCCAGGCCCCTCCTGGTGTGGCAGACCACCCAGCCTTGGCAGCCAGTGCGCCTGGCCTGGCCTGCTTTGCCTTGGCTGGTTTACTCCCCTGCTCTGGGCCTCGGTCTGTCTCTGAGGTTAAGGGAGAGATTAAACTCTGGTTCTGGAAGGGTGATGAGCTGATCAGAACCCGTATCTCAGGAGGGACAACTAAATACCTCTTGGGTGGATGAGCACACAAAGCTCTGGTTAACCAACCAATGGAACTATAATATGCAAATGAACGGATTGTGGCTTTGCCTCCTGATTGGCTGAAGGGGCCCTGATGTCACAATATGTGGGTTTCTCCACTTCAAATGATCCTGTGTCTTGTCTCCAGCGTCCCCCTCCCCACCCCACCTCCCAAAACTTCACTGACTTGGCAGGTCTCTTAGCTCCCTCTCTTTGTCCAAACGGGAAGACTATGGAACCCCTCTATCAGGCTGGGTCCATTCTCATGAAGGTGAATACTTTACAAGGGAAGAAGATGGTGGAGAGCGGCCTCCAGTCTGGGGACTTTTCCCTCCCCCAGTCGTGGCCCTCTGGCCTCCTGCCGTCAGCTGACTTGGAGGTCCTGCAGCAGAAGGTGGCTGCAGTCGAGCGGGAGCTGGAGGACTTTAAGAACGAGGCCTTGAAGGCCATCCATTACCTGGAAGACGCCTTCTGTGAGATGAACGGGACCCTGGCGCAGCAGGAGGAACAGGCGGCCCGCGTGAAGCAGCGACTGAGGGAGGAGGAGGACCGGGGCATCGTGCGAAACAAGGTCCTCACCTTCCTGCTGCCCCGCGAGAAGCAGCTCCGGGAGCACTGCCAGCGGCTGGAGGGCATGCTGTTGGGCAGGAGCCGCGAGGCGCTGGGCCTCCCCAAGAAGATCCAGGCAAACTGAGGCCTCCCCAAGCAGGAGCTGCGCTTCTAGCCGAGGAGCAAGTAGAAGATTTTTTAAACGGAAGGACGGACCCTAAGTCCTTATCCATTGGCTCCCCTTCCCCCATTTTTGTTGCTTTCCTTCCACCTAAATAATACCTTGCTGAGAGGCCAAAGGACCACGGTATGTTCTTTCGGTGGAGCTCCATTTGTCCCGCATCGTCGGAGAAGGAGGCGCCCCAATATAGGTCCTTTAGACGCCTGTGGTTTCCACCTTCTAACTGTTGTCCTGTTCCCAATGGTAATATTGCTCCGATGTATAACATGTTTGTTTTTAATCTTCTTAAACGGATTGTGTTGAACAGACTTTCCTTTCTTCATGACTTGTTACTTAATGCACGGTCTCCTGGGAGGGGGCCCTCGCTCGCCCAGGCACTAAATGGCCTCCGATTGCTTTACTTTTGCAGCTCGTATCCTCGCCCAGCTGGCTTTTCTTCTGCTTTCACTGTTAGGCTGTCACATCCTCGCTGCCTTTGCCCACCTCTGTCTCCCCTCTAGTTAGTCTGCAGACTGGCCGATCGGACTCACAGAGCTTTTTGGGGCTCCAGGGGCTGGAGTCAGATGAGCCCAGCCCACGGGTGGTGGGACACCTGTAAGGCGGCACTATGAGGAGTGAAACTGGTTTTCACCTTTGACCTGTGGAGCAGGAATCGTTTGTGCACATTTCCCAGGCAACGTCCATACACCCTCCACTTCCACAGGCACCTTTGGAAGCAGGTGTTGTTTCCCTGTTGGGAAAAGCTGATCCCGGGAGGGTCCATCCTTTACTGGGGTCTCCAACGGGCCTTTCTGTTTCACTGAGTCACACATCCTCTCCTTGGCCCCCCAAACATTGCCGGATGGCAGGGAATCTCCCTGAAACAACGGAAGTGAGGTGCCTGGAGGCCAGAGTCAGCACCCAAGCAGGCGGGCCTCTGTCCTTCGAGCTCAGGACTCACAGTCGCGCCATCTCCTCTGATAGTCTAGGTCAGCCCCATCCTCCCTACTTCCTTTCATAGAACCACTGTTTGAGAGGGTCCCACAGCCTGGAGTGTGCCCCAGAGGACAGGGCAAGCCAGGGGACGCTGAGGAGGGGGCATGAGTGAACGGCCTGGGGACCTTGGCAGAGATGTTTGGGGGGAGACCGGATCATGACCTTCCAAACCCGGGAAGACCTGGTTGTGCTTGGGGTTTGAGGGACGAATAAACGTTGCCCTTCTTTTCCCTGCCTCCATGAGGAGCCAGCTGAAGGATAGACACAAGCACCAGGCAAAGGACAACAAAATACTACCGTGATGGCTAACGAAGCTGCTTGAGAAGGGGTTCAGAATCTGCGAGCCGCGTGGGTTTGCTAAGACCGCATGCCTGAGCCGGATGCAGTCCCCAGGCACAGGCGCCGGCCGTGATGGAGCTGCCCCTGCAAGCCAGGCAGTGTGACCTCTCGACTGAGGGGCAGCTCGAGAGAGAGGATGGGGTGGGCTGTGCAAGAGCTGATCTTTCTTCCAAATCCCCCCATCAGAAAGTCACTCCCCTTCCCTGGGGCAGGAGTGAGGGGAAGGAGGACCCATGATGCTGTCTGAGTGGAGGTCCCTCCGTCATGGAAGGAATGGGCCAGGAGGGTCCACCCCCAACGATGAGGAGAAAGGGTTAGACTGAAGCCATATACTTCTCTAGGGTAGTACTAGCAACCAAGGATGGATGCCGGCGGGCGGCAGATTTCAGCCCCATGTAAGAAACAAAAATAGCACTGGGTGCGTCTTATGTGTCTGTGCGGCAAAGGGTTGACTCAGCAAGTGTGGGATGTTCAAATCTTGCACATTTCAAAGAAAAGTCTGGCTCCGGACCAACTCCTGGGAGATAGCCTCCAAGCCCTTGCAATGAGCTGCCTGATAAGAGTGTCTTAGTTTACCAGGGGCCTTGGGCCAAGCCAGATCGTTTCTGCTAATAATGTGATTTATGGTGGGGACCCTGGGCCAGGCTGTATCAGTTTGACTTTCGGAGGAGTGGAGATTGAGGAGCTAAGGTCAGCCATGGAGGTGCTCTCTGCCCAGTTATGAACCACCAATAAAACCCTGGACACCAAGACCCAGGTGGGCTTCCCCGGTTGACAGTACAACGCGTTGCTACATGTTGTTGCTGGAAAAATTGATCAGTTGTCCCCACAACTCCCCTGGGAGAGGACACCTGGCAGCTTGTGCCTGGTCTCTCCTGGACCCGCCCTGTGCTGCTTTTGCCTTTTGCTGATCTTAATCTGCATCCTTCAGCTGTAATAAAATAATCATGCCTATCACAGCTTTTCTTAGACTGTGAGAAGCTTAAGATGCCCCAAAGGGTGGTCCTGGGAGCCTGTGAGGCAGTGCCAGATGCATCTGACATTCCGTCCTTACTCTCCTCACAGTAACCTGTGAGCGAGGCACTATTGTCCCCATGACAGATGAAGGAACTGAGGCCTGGGAAGGTTAAATAACTTGCCTTACACAGCAAGACTCCCGAGCTCCCTCCCTCGACCACCACCCACTCCAAAGGAAGGGACTTGGTGTGATGGGCTGGCCCTCTGTGCTTCAAGGTCCTGTGGGGGTGACCCCAAGGCCCTCCAGTTCCAAGGAGGTGAGTCATCCTGTAGTGATCCAGAGGAGGAAGTGCAGGAGGAGGAGGCAGGAAGCTGGTGAATTTCCTGACTTGGGGAGCCAGGTGCACATCTGTCCAGGTTGGGTTGGACAGGTGTCCTCCCTGGAGCTAGGTGTCTCCTCGTGGGTTTCTCTGCGAGGGCTTCAAGTGTTCTTCTCCTCCTCTACCCAGGGCTCTTGGCTGCAAGCCACAGGCTACGCTGGCTTCTTGGAGGAGCGTACCTTTTCACATAATCAGACACCTGAAGTAGAGGGTTGGTTCAGTAGTTCAACAATGACATGGCCCTGAGTTGGCATCTCTCCCATCTTCTTTCCTTCCCCCGTTACCACGTCCCCCAATGGTCACATGATGATGGCTGCAGGAGTTCCAAAACTCTGTCCTTGCTCGGGCGACTTGCAAAGCAGAAAAGGAGTGGCAGACCTAAGCCCTTTTGCAGAATTCCCCCCAGTAGATTTTCTTTGACACCTTGGCCAGACCGGGCCGGCTTGCTCACCCTAAACCAGTGGTCGGCAAACTGTGGCTTGCGAGCCACATGTGGCTCTTTGGCCCCTTGAGTGTGGCTCTTCCACAAAATACCGACTTCTGTGCATGGGCCACGAAGTTTCAATCGCACTGTACGTGCGCGCCCGCACGTGGTGTTTTGTGGAAGAACCACACTCAAGGGGCCAAAGAGCCACATGTGGCTCGTGAGCCGCAGTTTGCCGACCACTGCCCTAAACCAATCATGAGCAAAGAGGAAAGCATTTGCCACAACTCACTAGGGCTGGGCACCTCAGTTACCCATGATCTGGACAAAATCAAGGTTCCAATTGTGAGGTTGGCTGTTAGGAGATCACCAACCGCAGCTACCACAGCCTAAGTCTTAGCTTTTCTACTGAATTGATACCAGGGGCCAGGTAGAAGGAGCTCTGGGGAACAGCATGACCGGACAGTGTGAGAAGCTCTTACTTTACTGAGGGAAGCATGGATTCAGGTCTGGGAATTGGGGGGATGGGCTGGATGGAGGTGTGGAGCTACTTTAGTGCTGTGGGTGCAAGCCCATTGCTCTCACCTGCCCCACATGCTTGAAGTCAGAGGTTTAAGATGACCCAAAGGGTGCCGGGAGAATTCGTAGCCCCTCAGCCTTTAACACAGGTAGCCACTTTTAGAGATGTGATTCACGTGTCACCATCGAGTAAGTGACTCCTGATTTAACGAATTGTCTCTGTTTGAAAGTGCAAGTCCCATATGCCAGGAACCCTCTGAGTCCTGGGCAAACTGGGATAGTTGGTCACCTTGCATTAGACATAAACCACCTTTAGGTGATCCAGGTGAGGCTGTGGTGGGGTGGGTCACAGGGGGTCAGGGTAGGAAACGCGGACAGTGGTGGCCCCCTCTGCTAGATTGGTGCATCTTTTATTTTTAACCAGAGGCGCTGGCCTGCCCGTTCTGTGGCAGGAGTGGCTTATTCTTTTTTTTTTTTAAAGCAGGAGTTTTATTTCTTTTAATCCTCATCTGAGGATATTTTTCCATTGATTTTTAGAGAGAGTGGAAGGGAGGGGGAGAGACAGAGAGAGAGAGAGAGACAAACACATCAATTGGTAAAGGTATGTGTCCTTGACCAGAATCGAAACTGAGACTCTTCAGTCCACAGGCTGATGCTCTATCCACTGAGCAAACCGGCTGGGGCAGGAGTGGAATATTCTTAACTTTATTTCTCCTCCCCACCCTCAGGTTCTTGTCCGCCACTTCCAATTGGCCAGGAGATTTGAGAGCTAGGCCTTTCTGGGCAACTTCTGGGACCCATGTGTGGTCAGTTGGGAGTTCTGATTAGGCCCCATCACCCAGCTGAGACCCTTGTCCTGGAGGACAGAGGATTCCATGGTCAATTAAAGAGCCCAAGAAAAAAATAGCTTTTTGTAGTTTGGGAAGATGAGGTTTCCATTCCAACTCTTCTCTCCCCAACTGTGAACAATGAAGTTGAGCAGCCCAACTGCTCACTTTCTTTGAAATTCTAAAGCAAATAGAAGGCAAAATAACAGATGGGGTTTTGTCCCCTGCCAATCGCCACAGTTCACACAGGCTTTCTGCAAGCCGCCATGCTCTACTTGCTCCTCTGAGCTCCCCCAGCAGCCAGAGGGATGCTGAGATGGAAGACACCTGGCTTCATCTTAGAATAACCCACGGCGGCCTCGGGAGCGCTCCCCAGGCCCCCAGTCCTGTTCTGCTGTGAGCTGGGACGCTTGGGTGAGCAGCAAGGTGGCCAAACACAGGTACCTGTTGTGGGGAACACGGAACCTCAGCTGCAGCAGTTCAGCCTCACCTTTCTACCCACCTGACACCCAGGGCCAGGACGAGAGCTCAGGGACGGCGTGGTGGGCGGAGCGGGCCGTGTGGGCGGGAAGCTAGGGTTTGGGTCTGGAAACTGGCTTCTTTCTACGCAGCACTTTGCCTCCGGATCTGATCCAATCCATGTGGTAGTTCCTGGAGTGCTGAGAGCTGCAAGCGTTGGGCGTTTGCCTGACATTCACCAGGTGTCGATCTTTCCTTTTTTTTTTTTTTTTCCTGTGAAAACAGTTTGGCAGTGTCTCCATGTGTTGAACATAAACTTACCACATGACTCAGCGATTCTACTCCCAGGTGTATGCCCAAGAGAACTGAAA